CACAGAAGCCACTAAGATTCTTTAGAGTAAACAATACCACTCTTACAAAAGCCCCCCAAATCAACAGGTTCTTAATAATACTAACAATTCTTCCTGCAACTGTGGTCTAACTGTGTGTAACATGGTCATAGTACCAGTTAATAATTTATTAACTCTCTAATTAATCAAGAATAAATGGAACTGTAATGTGAAGTGTAGCCAGGCCATTCGCTGTTAAAGTATTCTAAATTAATTTCCCTTTTTTCCTCCTTCTCATTGCAGCGTCCACATACCAAAGGACTTACTCTAAGAAATACTACTATAAACATTCTTCATCAGGAAAGGGAGCACCGTTAAATTCATCAAAACACTATCACCACTGGATCAGGACGTGGCAGGACTCAAGGCGCTGAGAGCTAAATGGTGAATGGGGATTTCCACCATTTCAGCCAAAGTCATAACTTTCTGTGCCTTTTCTATCACTTATAGGAGTATTATCAAATTGTTTTGAAACTATGGACTGCGGTATTCACAATGCATTTTGCAAAAATACGGTGTTTATCAGAAAATTTAAAAAAAAAAAAAAAAAGGAGAAATGCTTATGGGGATAAAAGGAAACCATTTCCAGCCTATAAAGATTATTAGTTTTCTATATGCCATCGGTGTGGACCATTTTATGATATATACCAGCCTTCTGCAATATTTAAACAGCTCGATTTTAGCACCAATGAAAATGTAAATAAGATGATTTTAATGTTGTTTAATTGTGTGTTGTTTTTAAAATCCTGTATATAAAATGAAAAGTCACACTAATTTCAGGCATATTTATGGTTAGAACGGCCTCAGAGGTCTTCGGTCATTTATGACGTTGTTTTTGTGTTGTTTACCTAGGCTGGAAATGGTTGAAATAAATAACTTCACTGACTGAAATTTGCTATTATCAGGTGAAGATAAACACACAAGTTACATGACTTTTTTTTTTTTTTTTTTTTTAATGGGAACTGTGCCCATTTCCACCCAAGGTACAGTCTGTGTCGATGCGATGCAAAGTTTAGACAGAGCACATACAAGTGGCATGAAGTGTGAACTAGGGACTGCAATCTGGAACTTTTTTTCCGCTCTCCATTCCAGCTTCGCCATTCACGAGACAGGACTGCATGGAGGAGTTGTGTATGACAAGGAGGGCCTGTAAAAATCCAAGTGCTAATACATTAACTTTATCAACCAGGGCCATTTTTTTGAAAAAAAAAAAAAGGAAAAAAATTACTTTCATGACATTAACCACAAGGTCTATATTACAGGTCTCTGCATTCTAAAATGGAGATAGACCTGGTGTTTGGGGGATTTTTTTTTTTGTAAAAAACAAGCAAAAATCAAAAAAGTAAATAATTTTGTATATATAACCATTTTTTAATCTTTTTATAAAGTAATGAATGTTTGTGTATGAATGCTGCAGCTGTGAAGCGTACATAAATAAATGAAGTAAGCCATACTGATTTAATTTATTGGATGTTATTTTACCCATGCAAAGAAGATTAAAAGAGCTCGCCAGTGCAGTATTAGCCCCTGAGCTCCACTTTTGGAACCATCTTTCAGTTCAACTGCTATTTCCCCGAAGAACAAAATTCCTGCTAAACAGGATCATTTGTTTGCGGTTAGATGGGTGAGAACTGTGTGACTTACAGAAGAATCAGAATCTTGGCTTTCTAGGAAGAAGTGTGTGCACAAAGAGGTTATAGGTTGTAGTTGGTGCAGTGTGTACGTAGGAGTTTTCTATTATGGTTTCTTACCCTGGTCAGCTCGATGACTGACCTGGATGTGTACAGTAAGTGTAGAAGGTAATGTTTGAAACGACCTCTCCACAGAAAAGACTGTTATTTCTGCAAAGTGCCTTGCACACCTTTGGGCACAGGACAAAAAAAAAAAAAAAAAAAAGAATAAAGTGAAAATAAAGAACAGTAAGTTCCCTATGAAATACCTTTAAAAATAACGTTACAAATGCAAACACAGATGGGAGGTTTACGCCTTTGTGTTAGTCTGGGGATACGATGCAAAAAGTTGAAAGGGAAAGGAAAAGAATTGAAACCCAGCCAACGTGTAAGAGTTCGTATTCGGCAGAGCTGCCCATGGAGTGACCTTGCCACAGCTCACCGGGAACAGTAATTGTGGTTCCAGGCAACAACCCTTGAGACATTGCAGCGACTGCTCCCTTGAGTGGACCCAGTCTTTGTGCGTTCAGCGTGGCAGTGCGTCACTGTGTTGGCCGGTTCATTCCCCACACCTCGCCCCCAAACAATGCACATAATACTTTTCTCTATTTATATTATTATCTTGTATAGTGTATAATGTGAATGTCTGGTTTTTTTGTGAATGAAAGTCTAAAATCTTTGTAACTTTTATATCTGCTTCTGTTTCACCAAAGAAACAAGGTTTTGCTATACTGTGACTTGTCTTGTTATTGCATGTCTTCCTGTTTAAATCTATGCAATGTGATTTTTTTCATATGAATACAATTAGACTGTCAGGTACTTCACAGTTGTCATGGGCTTGGTCAAGTGCCCACTGGAGTCAAAGAGAGTCAGCTGGCTGAACTTTAGTAGGTGCTGGATTTGACTTTATATGAGCAGCTCTAGGGGATATTTTAAGATATACATTGTATGTTTTGAAGTCGATTATTGCTTGTATAAGTCAAGGCTCTTTTCATAAATACGCAGTATTCTACACACCACTTCCTTGTACCAGAAACATACAGAACAGAAGATATATTTTAACACTTTGCAAACTTTCTCACCATATGTATAAAAAACCCTGCATAGATTTGTTGTTTTCTTGTCTACTTGTTGGATTTAAAGAATGTTGTAAGGCATTCAGATAACATTGTGATTGTAGTTTTAAATAGGCTAGATACAGTGCTTATATTGATTTTTTCACCTCCTTCTATTACGCATAATAAAATAGGACTGACAACATTCCTTATTAAAAACAAAAAAACAAAAACAAAAACAAACCTGTTACCCATGCTTGTTTATTTAGACAGAGCATGGAACTTTATCCAGCTCTGGAGACTTTTTCTAACACTGATTTAAACCCTAGATGTTCCAACATCAACCCCCTGCAAAACGCACCCACTCGTACCACGAAGTGAGGTCTGCTGCAGAGCCAGGGTGTTACCACGAGGAGTGCCGTGCGCCCTTCACTGGAGCATCTCTCAACTCCAGTCTGCAGAAGCATGTTGGGATTGGAGCAGGGCGATAGGAGACAAAACTAGAGGTTTAAATACTGATTTTCTGAGTGAGTGTTGCTTAGCTTTGCTTTCTTGCCTTCCAAGCTAAACCAGAATTCTTTTTAACTTATTTCTCTAAGTTACCCTATATCTGCTGCAGAGGTAGGAGAGTCCACTTAAAATTGTGTTTTACAAGTACAGGCAAGACAAATACCAGAGCACTATTCCTGTTGTCATCTTCCCCTGCTGGATAAGGATTAAACTTTCTGTCTCAGTTACTATGCTGTCGGGCATTTAAAAGGGCACAGGAACAGCTGCAGACGAGGAGGTGGAAAGGTGAGGAGAGGATGGGGCACTGGTGATTAAAGTCATTAGCTCGAAGGGGTTCAGATGTGCGGTGTGCATCTTGGGTGGCCAGCAGCACACGGGGCATCTGGTTCAACCAAGGAGTCTCAAGCTGCAGGTCTGCGCACAGAGCTCAAAACGCCGCATGAGAGCGATCGCATTCTGTGTGCCCATGGAAATCTCTGCAGAGCAGCTGTTATTCTTCTGAACATCTTCTGTCCCTCCAGTTATTGACAGTATTGGACTTCCCAGCACGAACCTCAGAGCAGAGGTTAATGCCACACAGGACAGAAACAAGCCAGGCCTCCTGTTTCGGTTAGAGCTTCTCAAAAAGCACGAGAAGGTGCTGGTTAATACTTCTTTAAGCGAAAAGTCTTCGTTTCTGTAGGCAGCGCCTTTGCTCTGAGCGTACGCAGAAGGCAGCACACACAAGCAGAGATTCCCTCGGCGATGGGAGGCAAAGCGGCAGCAGCTGGTGCGAGTTTGAGCTGTAAAAGGCTCAGCGGCACGGCGGCCGAGGGTGATTGAGGAGGAAGTGAAGCAAGAGGAGCAGGAGCAGCTGCCAGTGAAAATGCTATTACCTAACTTCTGGAAGCCTGGATCCTGCTAAGAGCAGGATGGGTTGTGGATTTAATTAACTCCTTGGTGAAGTAAGTCTGGGGTTTGGGTTTTTTTTTTTTTCTTTTTTTTTTTTCCACGTTGTAAATGCCGACTTTCTGCATTTGGAAGAACTGTGGTTTTGTCTGTTAAGAAGTCTTGCTGCTATTGTGTCTGAAAAAAACCCCAAACCCCAGACGGTTCCCCATCAGCATGAGCAGGGCTGCTGGAGGAGCAGCAGCTGCAGAGATGCCTCCTAGTGCTTCTAGGCAGATCTGTGAACTTCAACGGCATTTGCAGGCAGAGGGGTATGCATCGCTCCTGCTGTGAACCAGAGCTATTTCTCATCCAGATGGCAGGGGAAAAGGGCGGTCGTGTTCTTTGCTCGGTTAGAAGCCTTGCAACGTGCCGTCCTGCCCCCCGGAGACAGAAGATGACTCAAGCTGTCTGTAGGCTTCAGCTCTCCAGGTAGAAAATTCCTCCTTCACCAGGAAATGTTTAAGGTGTTGCATACCAAAAGTGACTGGGAAAATCTCTGGGTTCAGTGCGACTGTGTTAAGGCACAAAGGCAAATGAATTCCTTTTCAGGGAAAACGTACAAGTTGTATTGCTGATTGTAAGCAGTACTGTCCATAGGACTCTACGAGCACGCTGTTTGTCCCGACAAATGATGAAAGGGCTACAAATGGTGTTTGAACGAAGCACGGGCCATGCAAAGCATGGTGAAGCCAAGAAGTATAGTCATCATAAGGGCAGAAATATCATCCAGAAAAAGGCATAGCCTTTGAACACTCCAGCAGTAGACCTGGAAGGAAACTTAAGAGCCTGTAAAGTGCAACTTGATGGCAAACTTTGGTTTTCACAGCAAATAAATACTTTCAAGTGGGGAAACCATCAGCTGTTACTGCTCTAGAGGCTAAGTTACTGTGTAAATGCAGATTAAAAAAGGTAAATGGGACCTTGATGTGTTCGTGAGGAATTTATTGCAAGGGTGGGAATGGATTTCTGATACTACCAAAATGCCTCCAGATTCCCAGGTGCCAATAGCCAGGAGAAATGAAATTCAAGCTGGAAATGGACCAGCAGCCTGTTTCTGGGATGGCTGGAAGAACCGAGGAGCTTAAAGGAAGGCAAACACTGGTAGTGGTCCTGCACGGATGCCGCAGTCTTAAGGAGCAATTACATGGCTTCTGGTTTTAAGCCCTAGAAATCGCATTGTGTAGTGGTGAGAAGTCCTGTGACAGTAAAAGTCCTCATTACTTCAAGACAGGAGGCAATCAGTTTAGGAAAGGGAATAAATGGCGCAGTTGTCTTTGGTAGTAGGGAAACAACAGGAATTTTAGTCCTGTGTTTCTTAGACTAGGGTGTTTGGGGTAATAAATACACATGATGGTCCTGCATGGCAGGAAAAAAAAGTAACACGGAGGTTTGGCAGAGGTCATACACAAAGATCTGCAGCAGATCCAGGCAATGAATCTGTGTTTATTAAAGCCCTGTTCCTTGACAGGTTTAAAAAAAAAAAAAAAAAAGTTTTGATTCAAAAGGCAGTAGGATCCCTCTTCTGGGTTAAAACAATTTTGGGGCTCACCCATGTACCACATTTTTGTCTATATATATCTTTTTAATAAGCTTAGAAAAGGGGAAAAAAGCAGCAGATGTTGCTGAGGGTGCTCTTTGCTTGCTGAATGAAGGACGCCTTTGCTCCTGAAAGCCATACCTGTTCTTCCACTGCAGCTTGCTCATCTTAAACCATAGAAGATTCTAGATAAGGTCAAATCCTGACTGAGGACA